TAGTTTTTGTAAATCTGATAGAGAGGGATACTAAATTGTAATAAGTATGTAATTGTATAAATTGAGTACAATTTAATACTTCATTATTCATTCTCCTTATTGATACCCTTAACTTCTCTCGCATGTAAATTAATTCTTTGATGATAATATATCGAGTTAAAGAAATTCATATAACTGAGTTGTAGAGGAAGCATAACCTATATAACATTGAATTGCAGAGAAATTAAAATTTTGGCTGTCATTGATTTGATATTTATTGAGCTTAATTTATTATACTCAGCTTTTCCTAATTTCAGACTTACCTTATTCATAAGCAGCACACAATATATTATTTAAAATTTAATATTGCTGTCTTGCTTTCAAATTTGCAGTATTATAATGGGATTATTGAGTCATAGGAATAAAATGTTTATGAAATATTCTAAAATGTTTGTGGTGTATTCTAAACCATTTATTTTATTTATTTGGTTCATTTCATTCTCCTTTTAATACATTTCCTATGAACAAAACACAGGAATATAGCTTTTGGTAGTAATATTTAAATAGCAATAAAATTAATAGTTGAAATATAATGATGTTCTCTGTTGTTTATAATTTTATATGTATGTTATGTTTCATGTTTTTTGAAGAATTTTTAGTATTTTTAATCCTTATTGATTTATATGATCATAGAGAAAAAAATTGTTTATATTTTACTCAGAACCATTGAATTGAATTTTAAATGCCAGGCCAGGTGCAGTGGCTCATGCCTGTAATCCCAGCATTTTGGGAGGCCAAGGCGGGCAGGTCATGAGGTCAAGAGTTCTAGACCATTCTGGCCAACACAGTGAACTCTGTCTCTACTAAAAATACAAAAAGCTGGGTGTGGTGGTGTGCATCTGTAATCCCAGCTACTTGGGAGGTTGAGGCAGGAGAAACACGTGAACCTAGGAGACAAAGATTGTAGTGACCCAAGATGGCACCATTGCGCTTTAGCCCAGGTGATAGTGCAAGACTCCGTCTAAAAAAAAAAAAAAAATTGAAATTATTTTTCCTTTTAATCTTCCTATAGTGGTGAACAAAGAAAAATATAATAATATAATTTCAGGATGGTATAGTCCCATCAACAACATAAGGTACATCTGGAACAAATATTAAGCTGTCAAGATTTCTGTCATAAGTATAACCATTCGATTGAGCCTTTTTAACGCAATAGGATAAAAGATGAAATGTTTAGACTTTTTTTTCTGATCAGGATAAAAGATGAAATGTTTAGACTTTTTTTCTGATCACTAATCTAGCCATGCTATCTTAAATATCCTTAAACCACTGGGTAGCAAATCACTCACTGTGATCTTAGATCTATATTGTAGTGTTGCCAATCTATTCATGTAATATACGTCTGACCAACTTAAAACTTTAATAACATATCCCATGTAAAACATACTTCCTCTACTACCTGCTAAGATTTGTGGCTAGGGAATTAGTATAAGAAAAGTTGTGTCTTCTTTCTACTATTTAATATATTCTGTGAATACTGCAATCCTAAAATGGCCTTGATTTCACCCTTGAATTTTTAAGGACTTAGAACAAGTGGGCTGGTAGTATGGCAAAGCAGTGTCTCTTAGATCACTTCTAAGTAAAGCTTTCAAAAGTCCTTTATCTCAGGTTACTGCTGGCTTCTTTTAGAATAAGGGTAACTGAATCTTCTTAGTCCTCAACTTGGAAGCCTTGTTGTTGATTGAGGAAAAGCCCACCCAACATACAGCTGCCTTAGTATTTATTACCTGTTTTTCTTCTATGAGGAATAGTTTTATCTTGAGAAATCCATAAGTCACCACTTATAAATGATAAGGTAACCTATTAAGTTCCTCTTAACGTTTGCTAAGAGCATATTAGGTCTTTGCATCCACATTTTTATCAAATTCATAAATATACTCCAGTAAAATTGTTTTAGCCATACAACGTGTAATCGTATTTTATTTGAATAGACTATCACTGATAAATCAGAATAAAAATTATTCTCTTGTCAAAACTCTGTGGATTTGCATTTCGAATTTAAAAAAAAAAAAAAAAGAATCAACAACGTGGCAACACTACCACCAATTTAATTTGGATTTGGTAGAGAGAAACTATAAAACTAGGCAATCTAGGCCAGTAGAATATTTGACAAAAAATGATGGAAGGTACTCACATATTGTAGGTAATCTTCAGTGATCTTTAGATTTTCAGTCATTGTGTATTACTTATCTCATTATTGGGATAAAATAAATGCTTGATTAATTATTGCACAAATCAAGCCACTGTAAAAAACAAAACAAAACAAAACAAAAAAACTCTAAAACATTATGCCTTATACCCTATTTTATGAGAGCCTAGAAGTAGGTAGTCTAAATCTAATCTTTCAGCTCCACATAAATAACAGCTTCCATTATGGTGCCTAAGGCTCTGAATCACTTTCTTCTAGTCAAAGGACAGCAGCATATGGTAAAGAGGAGACCAATTCCAATCCTTTAATTGGCAAGACCCAGAAATGTCACAGTTCACTCTGGCCACATGCCAGTGGACACGACTTCTACATATGACTATGGTAAACTCTAAGTGAAGCTGGAGTTGCTGTTGTCTTTGTTATTGGATAGAGCAACTAGCTGGTCCCCACCACTTGATAAAAACTGCTGAATTACAACCTGATATCTCTATTTTTTGATATTTCTTATTAAAAGCAAAACATATGTCACCCCACCAGTTATATTGCAAACTTTGTATTTTAATTTTTTAAAACATTTGTATAGTACAGAAATAGAGAATGAAACACAGGCAGGGGAAGAAATGGGAAGATGTATGATACAAAGGAGTAGATATGTAGGATGAACAAGTCTAGAGACGTAATGTGTATGAGGACTATAGGTAATAAAATTGTATTGTGTATGGGATTCATGCTAAATGAGTAGATTTTAGTTGCCCTGCTGCAAAAATAAAAACTGGTACCTATGTGAGATGATGGATACGTTTATTTGCTTCAATATAGTAACCATTTTACTATCTATGTGTATCCCACAGCAACATGTTTTATAACCAAAATATACATCATGAAATTTATTTAAAATATATACAAAGCTTAATCCATTTTGTAGAGCATTTTTGCATGTATGCCTATGTGTCAGCCTCTATAACTTTCTTTGCTTGACATTGTACTATACAAATTAAGGTAGAATTATTCAAATCATTAAGTGGACATCACAGATGGAGTATACTGTTGCAATGGGAATGCATATAATTTAATAAATATCACATTATGTTTTATAACTTTTTGATAGTAATATAAGTACAGGATTTTTCTTTCTAGGCCTGTTTTACAAGTGATAAATACCATCAATTCTTACAAATTCTTCTCTCTATATCTTTCACACATCCATGGAATTATGTAACTATCTCTTGGATTTCCGCTTCTTGCCTTAAAACTGTCTTTGAATGTCCATAATTAAGTCCAGTACTGTCCAATAGAACTTTCTGTGATGATGGACATGTCCATTATGGCAGCTACTAACTATATGAAGCTTTTGAGTAATTGTGATGTGACTGGTGTAACTGAGGAAGTGAATTTTAAACTTAATTTTATTTAATGAATTTAAATGTAAATAGCCACACATAACTAGTAATCTCCCCAATGGACGTGTAGTTGTAGTCACTCTGTGCTTTGTTTACCAACTTATTTCAGCCACATCTATTTTACTGCATCATACTGCCCCTGAAATATTCTTAAATATTTACTTACTCAACATTTATGTATTTGGGGTTTTATTCTCTGGGTAAGAAATTTTGTATTTTCGGTGTGGTTTTATCCTAACTTTAAATAGCCTAATAATAATAACCGTATATAATATTTATTGAAGACATTTTGTGTTAGACACGGTTCTGAGCATTTTATTCACAATAAATTGTTTCATCATCACAAGAAACTTGCATTATAATTATCACCATCTTATATATGTATAAATGGACACACCATAGGTTAATTAATTTTCGCCCAAGATCAAATAGGTAGCTAGTAAGTGGTTGAGCTAGGATGTAAACCTCAGGCAAACTGGCTTCAAATACCATTCCGTATTATCTCATCATTCTGGAGAGTGAGTTTTCATCAGTGGTTCTCTTTTATTCAAAATACAACACAGTTGGGGCCTTTCTAGGAGCTTTATTTGTGTATACATAATATAGGAAACTATCTTGCCTCTGGCAAGAGAGAAGAGAAAGGAAGAGTTTCTCTTCTTTCTTTTTCTTATCACAATTGTCTAAGCGGAAACTATGTTTTTAAAAATTGATCCAAAACATTCCTTATCTTTACTAATTGAGTATTAGGACCTCATTTTATCCAAATGATATTAAATAAATTAGTAAACATAAGTGACAATAAGCAGGTGCTGTATGTTTGTTCCTATGGCTACAAAAGATAATTCAGGTTTTTCTATCTCAGAACACAAACAGAAAGAGTTTTAAAGTACTCAAGATAGATTATTTTCAAAGGGTTGTAATGTTAAGATTTAACTCAGGTCAATCATCTCCAAGTTAAAATTACTTAGAAGCATACTGTCCATAATTAAGTAATCTTACCTACTAATATTACAGAATAAGAATACCTTTCGGTGACATGAAATCTGTCATTTTAAGCATACCCCCAAGCCTTTTCAAGATTGCTCATAAAATTTCTCATTCTCTAGAGAAATGTGATCTCTAAGAAATAAATGTCTCTGTCAAGTCACAAGTAATATGAGCACATGATAAAAAAATGGAATTTTGAGTCTTATAAGGGATATTGCAGTATTATAAAATTGCTTTTATTTCTTGTTATTTAAGTTCTCATGGTCATTTTAGGATTTACCTTCTGGATATAAAAGATTATGATTTCTTTCAGGGAGGTGGGGGTCAGAGGCCTTTGGGGACCAGGAGAATATTTTTCATATGAAATTCTTTGTCATAAAATGCTAATGTTGGTGTTCTTGTCTTTATGTCTATGCATTCTTTAGCTATGAGGATAACAGACCCTTCATCAAGTAAGAATGACCTGAATGGCTGATAAATTCCATTTATCAGTGTGGTCCCATGAACCAGCTGTCAGATCAGTACTGAAAAATCATTAGAGCTTCTGTCATTCACATTGAGGCAGAAGAGCAAACTGTGCAGGAAAATAATCTGGCATATAACTTACATGCAGAATAAATATGCTGCAGGTGTATTGCCAAAAAAAGTTTCTGCTTCACCTCTGTTAATTGGATATCACCTGAATTCAGTGCCACAGCAATAGCAATTTTCTGTGGTACAGACTTGTTTCGCTTTTAATAGCTTCCCTCTTTCATTGTGATGTCTTCCTCTGTGCCACATATGTCCACTTTTCTGTTGTTTGTTTGGGCATCATTCATCTAAAATTATTTTCTCATTTGCTGGTATATCTTCAAAATGATCTTACGGGTATAAAACTACCCAATTGCAATTGATATTAATTAATTGCTATACTAAATATAAAAATTTAAAAATTCCTTCAAAATTAATTTTTACATATGCAAAATTTCAAATTTGACACCGGTCACTAGATTAATGATCTAATCGGTAAGAATATATTTCAGTTTCTGAAATAAAGCTACAAGTCTGTACTAATCTAATAATTATAAACATAAATGTTAACATTTGGACACTTTCCCCATGCGTATTTTAAAATTACAAGTCCTGCAAGAATAAACTAAGATTGGCAACCGATGGGCAACCTTGCTGAGACTTTCAGTTTGTTCTTCTGGTGAAGAGTCCTTTGTTTTCATTTTTCTCCAGTGCCATTTCACTTCTTCATGCTTTTGCTTTTTAATTTTTAAATTTTTTTTATTTTTAAGAAATCGAGGCTCATTGCAGTTTTCTGCCATTCAGCTCTTGGGCCCATCATGTGTTTTCCAGTGGATAATACCTGACTTCAGTATTTGATCCTATTATTTTGTTTATAAATCGAAATAGCAATATTGCCTTGATTTAATGGCAATTCTTATTTTTTCTTTTTCCAACTTGGTCTGTAAGAAGCTGAGAGCTTTTCCTTAAAAGTTAGTGTACTTCTAAATCCAATTGTAGAAAAAAATATTCACACCTAAAATGTTTTCTAATTCATATAAGCAAATGTGTAACATGTAATAGCAGAAGTTCTTTAGAGATTCTTTATTCAAGAATGTTGATGTTTTCAATTAAACATGTTAAATTTAGTGGGCATTTAAACATGAAATATAGTGGCTGATTGTTATGGGAGAAAAATAGTAAATATAATTAATTTTAGTAAGACTTTAATAATTAACTACTTTGGGACCATATCTTTCTTAAGATTCAATTCTCTCTAAATAACAAATTGAACTCAGCTTCAGATTATGATAAACATATATGGTTTTCCCCTTCATTTCACAAAGCTTCAATCTCTGTAAATATATCTTTCTGAGACAATATAAGTGTAGGATAATAATCTGCTGAAAAGAAATATGAATATACCCTATTCAAGGAAGATGTGCTGGGAATAAAGAGGTTGGGTTTATTAGTGTATAGAGATCTCTACTGATTTGGTCCTGTTCTCCCATATACTTAGGAGTTGAGAAGGATTTCATTTCAATTATGAGTCCCAGTGGTTGCAAGAATTCGTTTTCTCTTGTTATTCAATACATAACTTAACCACAAATACATGAATTTTGATACCTGCTTATACTTTTGCAAATGACAGCTTGGAGGAAACTAAGAGAATGGAGTGGGAATGCGAACTTGTCTTTCATTCTATACTACTCCGTTCATACCGCTCCATCTTCATTCTCAGCTTCATCTTCTCCCTTGAGTTTCCAGACACTTCAAAGAAGTGAAGCTTCCCTTAGCCTTCAAAACATTTTTCAGCAAAGATGCCATATGACTGATTTCTAAAATCTACTGCAACATAGCATAGAAGAGAGTTATCCAAAAACTGAAGAAGAGTAAAAACAGTGCTTCCACTAGAGTGGAGCTACGTTTTTCCATCTACTATCCCTGATGCTTACTCTCTGTAACTATAGAATTAGACAAATAGGGCTTATTAAATTCATATGTGTACTTCAAATGCATGTATTTCCTCCTAATATGACTGATATTTTTGACAATAAACACTAAAATTTTTGTGGAAAAAGAGGAAATTTTTAAAAATGAGATAAAAATGTATCAGAAGCAGCACTAATAGAGGGAAATCAAACAAATGTTGCCACTGTGAGACCAGTGAAGACAAACGTAGCTTTATAGCCTGCTTTCCTCTTGCCATTCACCATAATTACACCTCATGCCATTTGCATATGCGCTGCAAATACATGAATAATTTATGGTATAAATCTGCTTTTGCTTAAATTAATTTCTGTGTTCGTAACATTTTCATTCATGTATATCTCCTCAAGCTTGAAAACTTGTAGTCTCATTAAAATCTTAAAGTACTTACACCACCTGTCTTACATTTTCTGTCAATAAAAGTTACTGTAACATTCTTTTCAGTGTTGTATTGTTGATTTGATATGGTTGTTAATTAAAGACCAATTGTTTGATAACCATTAATTTTTTTCTTCTCTCTACAGGTCATGGGTTATAGGTGCAATAGCTCTTCTCTGCCTATTAGGATTGACCTGGGCCTTTGGACTCATGTATATTAATGAAAGCACAGTCATCATGGCGTATCTCTTCACCATTTTCAATTCTCTACAGGGAATGTTTATATTTATTTTCCATTGTGTCCTACAGAAGAAGGTAAGCTAGAATTTTTTTTTAAATATAAATGGTATACATCTCATGATAGCAAAGTACTCATAACATATTCTAATATATTATTCTTGATATGTTTGTCTACAAGAAGTAAAGATACTCATCTTTTATAATAGTAAAGCAAAACAAGCACAAAATACAAGCATAATAGTTGGTGAGAGTGTCCAACAGTAGAAACAATTAAAACAGTTTCTGATTTGAACAATGAACAAAAATTATCGTCTTCTAGATTTGACTTTAAAGTCTTTAATATTCCCATTGGTGGACAAATGGAATTTGTGTATTAGGAAGTAACTATTTTCTAAAAATATTGTGGAGCCATGAGATACACACACACACACACACACACACACACACACACACACACACGCACATACACACACATGTATCATGGATATGTATCATGGAGGTATATGTGTATATATTTCTGTTTCTTCAAATACTAGTTTACATTTGAAAATATAAATATCTACACAGCTTATGGTAAAATAATATACATTTATATTTTTTGAATGAATAATGGAATACTTAATAATGGTCTCTATATTTCGTTCTTTTAAGAGCATTTATTATGAAATCTAAGAGTTGAATGATTAGAATACAGTTTTTTACGCTTATCTATTTTTGCAAATGTTTACATTTGCAAGGACATAAAATATATACATTTCAAAGTTAATTTTAAATACCAAATATTTTTATTACATTTTTTTAAATCCCAAGATTCATTTTCCAGCCTTAGGCACTTTAACTTTATTTAAAATGTGGTCTTGATTGGTCCAGTCACAAAAACCCCAAACCAGATTGCCTAAGTTTGAATCTCTCTGTTCTTCCATTGAAAAACTTGTGTGACTTTTTGGCAAGTCAATTAACTTCCCTATGTCTCAGTTTACTCATGTGTGACATGGAGGAGATAAAAATAATTATAAAATATTCAAAAAGATAGCTCTGAAAGTGAGGTAGAAAATTATTTTTTTAATTTATGAGAAAGAAACAATAAGATTTATAATGTTTCTTTGGAAAACAAAGGAAATAGAAAGTAAAGACATCTCTTTCTAGGATTTTTAGTTTTAGAGACTGGTGGGACCAAAATAAGAAGTTGAAAAGAGTGTTCTCTTGTCAAGATGGACAAACATAAAACAAAACACTTCTCTGTTTCAGTTTCACATGGCGATAGATACGTAAAATATGTTGACATGATCACAAATACAGAATAGAATAGTAATGATGAGTCAGGCTTCTAAATGTAGGTTACAGAAAAGAAAAGAGCTTACATTAGAATGGATGGATTCTAATCTAATTGATTAGAATTTCCCTTAAAAAGAGGTTGTTTTAAAATAGATGAACCCTCCCAATAATTAATGTGTACAACCCGCAAATTACAGAAGCCTAACTGAGCATATGTTTACGTTTTACTCATTGCCCGATGAATGGGGTTGCCCCATGAAGGGTTATAGGCTGATAAAGATTCAAACAACCTCAGTCTATGATTTTATAGTCCTCTTGGGTTTTGACATCCAACAGCAAGTCTGGGAAAGAGAAAGAGGATTTTGTGTTAAAGATTTGAAAGTGGCTCACACGGCATCTGCTCATTTTTTTTTTATCAGATAGGACTCTATCATTGGTACCACCTAAACTGCAAGGGAGACAGAAAAACATAGTATAGCTTTATACTCAGAAAGACAAGACATTGCATATGGTGACTAGATGGCAGACCGCCACTCATAATGTATTTAAAGAATAGGAGACATGTAAATGGTAAGTGAGAATAGAGTTGGAAGGAAGAATGAGAATCGAGATGATACACTGAATTAAAGATAGGAGAAAACGTCAAGAAAAAGACAGTGGTTGACATTCTAAAAGACTTCAGAGAAGTGAGAGAGACTAAAACTTGAAAAAATGTCTAGATTTGGATAGAAGAAAGCCATAACTGATGCTCAGGAGAAATATATACCAAAAAAAAAAAAAAAAGTGAGCAAAATCAGGAGATTAAAGGAAAAGGTAGCATTTGCCCATGAAAAAAAAAAAAAGGAATATGTTAGGTCATTATAATCAGCGTATCATATTGAAGTATAACAGATTTATTCACCTGTCATCTGTATTCTGTACATTAGCTTGAAATTTGGACCAACGTGGTTTTTAAATTTGATTTTAATTTGTTTACTAACTCCTTAAGAAGTAATTGTTAAATTTTAAAGTTAATTTGGAAATTTTCTACAAAGCAGAAAAGAAATGTTTGTACTTTATACACAAATCATTTTGGTTTTGAGTATTTTTACTAGCCAACACCTCTTTCAGTTTTCCCAATGTTAATTAAAATATTATTTTTATTTTTCTTGCTTTAACATAAACATATTACTAGAATAAGTAAGAATTGCATTGATATTCAGGTAGAGATTTTACATTTCAAGACCCCAAAACAACTTTAGATTTTTTAGTATATTTAACGTAAGTTAAATTTTGAAATCTATATGTCATCAAGTTCAGTTTCATGACTCATTAAAACAGAGTTCCAGAAACTGGCTTGTGAGACAAATTCATCCAGCTGCCTTTTATTTTTACAGCCAGGAAGCCAGGAATGGTTACTACGTTTTCAAATACTTAAAGTTTAAAATAAGTATATATACTATATCCTTGGTTTTGACTCCTGACTCAAAAAAATTAAAATGTTAACTGTCTGGACTTTACAGAAAATCTTCCCAGGCCCTGATTTTGGAAGCTTACTTTCATGATTTACAATAACAAGTCATACGCATATTGCTCCTTCATCTATTCCGTGTTTTGAATTTTAAAACTGGTTGCATTTGTATTCCGTGTCAAGAATACAGCCCAGTATGAGAAAATACATGATTATTTTTCATTTTTATTTTATCTTAAAAAAATGTAATGTACTTCTCTTTGACATTGAAGAAATGGTTGGGAGGTTGTTTTTTTTTTTTTCTTTTAAGCCATCTGATTAAATTTCACTAATATGACATTGCTGGTATAGTTGTTTATATATGTTGATAAGAGAAATATGAAATATTTCATATTTGAAAGTTTTGTCTTATTGAATCATTTGTTAATTGATTCAACTTATAAAATTAAAATTTTTGAGCCATCAGTCATTTTCTGAGTGTAGATTGTATAAACAGTATTTCCACGGGTCACATTAAAGTGGTTACTTTTATTTTTGTCATACACTCAAATATTTTATATACTCTCAGAGTTTCCATGATCATTTGATTTCTGATATGAGAATATAGAAGAAATGTTCCATTGGTAAGGCATATTCTCTTTGCTGTCTTCTATATTCTAGAACAGCATGACACCAAAATAGGATATCATCTGACTTGGATAACTAAGATGCAGTACCATGTGAAATAGTGGATTTGAATATGCAAAGGATTGAACAATCAAATAACTGTTTTATTGTAATCTAAAAAATGTTTCCTGGACATGGTCCATGTTATTTTTTTTTCTTCTTTTTAAGACATATGTTTAACATTTCAAATCAAATCACAGCAAAATAAAGTCAGTATAATGATTCAGTAAGTAATATAGCTAATGCAAGTCTTGGCATCACCAAATATCTTGATTTTCTGGTTGTTCATATAATCAGTTCAGAACATTTAATCTTTGTTGGAAAATTCAAATAGTCCATGATGAATTACTGTGGCTTATACAATATTGCTGCTTTTGTAACAGGAGGGAAGGTGGTTCTCTTTCTCTTTTCTTTGCCTTTATTTCTCTTTGTACTGAAATATTTCTTCAGATCTACATCATTTCATTCAAATACACTTTCTCATCTAGAAAGAAACATGTCTTTTGCTGAGTACCTTAAGAAAAACAGAATGGGATGTTGCAGAGTGGGGAGTTATGATCAAAGTTTAGGTTCTTAGAGATGCTACATAAATCAGTAGAAATTACTAAACTATCATTGATACTGCTTACTTTTAGTTAGAGATTATTTTAAGCCTTCTCAAGTTATAATTAAGGCATTTGCCCTAATTCTTTCCAGATACAAAGAAGGAGATAATTAATTGATTACTTTAATAATAATATTAGTAATATACAGTTCTTGTGCTGGTCAAAAATCCATGTTCCAAATGTGGCATCTTAGAGCTTTTTGATCATAGAGCAACCATGAAATTTAGATTTTTACCCTAAGGCACATTGCTTAACCTTTTCAGTCTTATAGTTTACTCTTATTGCTTAACCCATTTCAATGTCCTTATCTATAAAATGAAGGTAATAATTATTTTTCAGAGTTATTTTAAGGGAGGTACCTAGCACAGTTCCTGACATACAATGATTAAAAAGTAGAAGTTCTTCTCCCCACCCTCCCAACAGATGTATCTTAGAAACACACATAACTGGGTACAGACTGATTCCTCTTTTTAAGATAAGCAAAATATGGACTGACTTGTAAACACTGAACAAAAATAATTATCTCTATTTCTAATTATTGATAAATGTAGCACAGAAAAGACTGGTTGCAAAACAAATCAATAGCATTTTAAATACATTGAAAAATAAGTAATTTTGCCATGTCTGAGCAGAAAAAGGCCCTAAAAGCCAGCACATCATAACCCTGTTTTGCTCATTCTATTCTCTATGGCAAGAATGCCTTTTCCTCCTCTTCTTCCCTATCCTTTGTTTCAACTTCACTCTGTAGATTAATTCTGGTGGCTCTTTTGAAGACTATCTGGGAAGACTTCTTCCCCAAGAAGCCTTTCTTGGCCCCCACACCTACCTCCTCTTCTATACTTGAGTCACCTGACTCCATCTCCATCATTGTTCTCATCACATAACAATCACTCAATAAATGTGAGTTCCTTGAGGAAATCTGCATTTGTTCTGTCGTCTTTGATTCTGCTGTGTCTTTGACAGGATGAATTTTACCATAAGATGAAATGTTCCCATTTTGAATACTAAATTTAATGTATAATTTACATATCTTTCTTGCTTTTGATTCTAAATAACATTATTTTTTAAAGCACATGTTCATAACTTTGATTTAAATAAAATCTTATTGGAATATTATATTATTATAAGTTGTGGAAATAATGAACTCTAATGTGAAATCAAATATGTAAAGGCCTAAGAATAATTTATATATGGTACTGTTTCATAATATAAATTTGTGAACATTTAATCAATATAATAAAGTGTCCTTTTGTTGTTACTGATAGTAGAGATGTGATTTAAGGCAGTTGTGTTTATTTTTATATGCCTTGTTTAACTAAAGAGACAGAAATAAAAATTTTAAACATGATAAAATTTTACCAAAAGTTGATATAATTCTCTGCTTAAAAACATCAGCTTAAAGTCTTCTTTTTCCCTGTAATTTTATATTACAACCAGGATTAAGTATTTAATCAAGAATGCTGTAAAGAAAAGTAATTATATTTCTCTGATTATTCAGTAGAACTATTCTGAAGGACTGAATTTAAAATCTTTTGAATTTTTGTTCTCTAGTTGAAAATTTGATCTCTTTTAAAAGAAATAAACTTCAGAGAAATACAGATTTAGAAGAAATGATTCACCCAACGTATTCATATTTTCTGCATTTATCCTCTCTCTGCTTTCTCTCTCTGATCTCTCTCTCTCTCTGTCTCCCTCCCCCACTTTTTACCCTACTTCCTCCATCCCCCTCTCTTTAACTTCCTTACTAGAGTTCCACCTAGAGAACAACAGCTACAATGCCCTTAACACCAATAGGCTACTTTATATCAAATTTATGAAGCTAAAAATGTTATCTTGAATGGGCTTAAGTGTATGTTCTTTGAACTAAGAGAAAGTACCACTATGATGTGATGAAGAGGGTATGTGTGTGTGTGTGTCTGTGTGTGTGTGTGTGTGTGTGTGTGTGTTAAAAAGCTCCAGTTGGGCAGTATTTCAAGCTTGACAGTATGAATATAATTTTTTAATTGTAAAATATATGTTGGACAGACTTTCTTGTATCTGTAGGGCAAGGAAATAATTATGTTATCTAAAAATAAAACTCACATTTTCTACTTTTGTTCCTACCTGCAATGAATTACTTGCTAACAGAAGTTAATATTTAATTGGCTAGGTACGAAAAGAGTATGGGAAATGCCTACGAACACATTGCTGTAGTGGCAAAAGTACAGAGAGTTCCATTGGTTCAGGGAAAACATCTGGTTCTCGAACTCCTGGACGCTACTCCACAGGTTCACAGGTAAACAATAGTTGTTCACTGAAATGAAGTAATTCTTAACTATATTTCTGTTACCAGTTACTCTCCCTTATGATTGGTGCTAATTTCTATTCTATGTTTCACACATCACTTGTTTTTGTTGTTTCACTGTGTCCCACATGGGAATGATTCTGACAGAGAAGAAACCAAAACTGTAATAACATAATGAAATTTAGGGTCTAAGTTTGCATAGTAATTAGTGACTTCAGATTGTTTTTAGTTCAATAAATGCAGTAAGAAAGAAATTTGCCATTTTACCCGAAATTCAAAAAAAGTAATATTTCATATACATAGAAATTTGATATCTTGACATGGCTCTAATTCTTATAATTTTTCTAACTAGTATAATAATTATCTGTCACAAACTGAGGCAATTTACATTTAATATGATATGTTTAGTGAAAATAACTATGACTCAACGTTATTTCATGCTGATAAGTTGAAGAAAAATCAGGGCAGTGAAGAATACTACAGCAGTATTATTGCTATAGCTGGTCTAAGCTCCACTCCCATTCATCCAGCACTACACATAGCAGCATAGTACCTTACCCAAAAAGTTTTGAGCTTTTAGGTATACTGTGTGCCATTTTTCCCAGGGCACAGTTTCAGCTCAAAGGTTATTACATAGAAATCTTAGCAACTCCTGGATGCTAAAATGAGCCAGTCAAGTAAAAGACATAGGATTGTGTAGGTGATGAATGAATTTGATTTCAATATAGCAAACTAGTATTTTTGTTTGTTTGTTTTTTAAGATACAGTCTCACTCTGTTGCCCAGGCTGGAGTGCAGTGGTGCAATCTCAGATCACTGAAACCTCTGCCTCCTGGGTTCAAGCAATCCTCCCACCTCAGACTCCATTGTCCCGAGTAGCGAAGACCAGAGGCGTATGTCACAACACCCCAATAATTTTTGTGTTTTTTTGTAGAGGTGGGGTTTCATCATGTTGGCCAGACTGGTCTCAAACTCCTGGCCTCAAGTGATCCGCCTGCCTTGGCCTCCCAAAGTGCTGGGATTATTAGGTGTGAGTCATGCAGCCTAGTACTTTTAAGATTGCATGATTCAGTAGAAGAAAAAGTCATGTTTTCAGTGTTGCCAATTAAATTTTTTTGAGGAAACTCAAGTTTAAGTTGATAAATACAGTTATAGATCAAGAATTAATTTTTCTTAATTCTTTTAGCTCAACCTATAAATCTAATTATTGTTTCATAAATTTGGTTATTTTATATAAAATAAGAGTTATTGCTTCAGTTATTATTTGATGGATGTTCAATTGGTTTGTAAGCTTAATAGATTAAATTTTTGTAAATAATTTTATTTATATGCTTAGAAAATTTAATTTTTTATACCCTTTAAATATCATTTATAAATTTAACATATCTGATTGTTTCAAACACATCAACTGTCAGACTATACAGTCATACACACTTAACTAGCACTTGAAGCACTGTTATAAATCAATGAATGACCATGTTTTCATAAACAGTTTCCTCACCAATTAAGTTTTTTATCTTACAAATAAAACCAAATTTTCAATATCAATCTAATATTTACCATTAAAATTTTAAAAATTAACATATTACTGTCAAAAATATCAGACTATCTTAAATGATTTTGCCAACCACAAATCATGAACCTTAAATATAATTGCACAATTATTAGTAATCTGAATTTCATGTATTATTTACATACCACACTGAGGTTGTAAAGTTGCAAATCAGAGGAACAATTGTCCCAACTCAGATGGGTGGAAATTTCTGAGTTTAGCACTTTTAAATTTGCCAATCAGAGATCTGAATTCTCACATAAGAGTGGGGGAAGACGAGGGTGATGCTTTTAGCATGAACTCCTTTTATAATTAATGCCTTTATTATCAGACTCATAATCCCTTTCTCTTTCCTGCTTTTTATAATAACTTTTTCCACAACTTTTCAATTGATATTGCTGAGATTCTCTGTATCATCCAGCCTGATTAGCTCCTGCATGCTTTTCACATTACTGAGCTCATCAGCCAACATTCTTTAATTTTATTGGCATATATCCTTTTATTGACATATATCATTAATATTAAAATAATATTTAGGAATCTCGTTTACTACAACAGAGTTGTGCAATGTTTAGCAATACTTCTAAACTACAAGTTAAGGCAGTGCAGCTCAATGAAATAATAATAAACTCTGTGGTTGGGTATACATTGTTTTGAATCCTGGTTTTGCCATGTACCAGCTATGACACAGAAAAAAGTTATTAATTTCATTGACACTCAGTTTTTTCATCTGTAAAATACTGATAATAAATACTGACATCTTAAATTGCTAAGAAGATTAAACTCATATACACAAAACACTTAGAATAAATTGTAGGTGCTCAATAAATGGTGGTTGCTACCATTTATTACTGTTGTTATTATAGAATATTATATGTATCTTTAAGTGGTACCACATTTTTGCCCTCACTCTTGTAATTTGTAATATCACCATTCTACTCTTTGAAAATAATTTACATTTTTTTCTTATACTTAATATAATACTAATTCTGATTAACTGTGACCATCCAATCCTCCATAAGGTTATAAGATACCTAATCTATATTGTTTGTTTAAATAAAACTAATGAATATATTTCTCATTAATTATGGCCACCCATAAGCAAATGCTAAAATATTCACTGATATTAAGACAAAATTTGGGGAGTATGGACGCATCTTTCACATAGGAGAACTTCTAAAATAACTATCACTATGTATTATACTCTTTAATTTAGAAATACTGAGTGCCTCCTGTATAATGCCAGCAATCTTCTAAGCTCTGGGGATAAAATGATTAAAAGACATATAACTTCCCCTATGATCTGGAATATTTATTCTAGTATTGGGAGACAGAAAAATTATTAATAACTAACAACCCAACAAAAATATCAAATTGGGAAAAATGGCAGAGAGCAAAAATATGGTGATGTCAGTTAGCCAGGTGGCTACTTAGATTAAGTGCTGGAGAAAGTCTACCTTTGGAAGTGATGCTTATACCCAGGTCTGACTTACAAGATTCTAAAAGAAAGGAGAAAAGGAAATTCAGGGGAACCATTTTCTAAGTGAAAATACTGCTTACGTAAAGCCTTTATGGTGTGAAGAACTTACAAAAAATGTTTGCCAAAGTAGGTTAGAGGGAGAGTGAGACACAAAGTCAAAGAAAAAGGGAAGAGATAGATCCCTAAGTATTGGTAACAGTATGAAAATTAATTTTATTTTGATTACTTTGGAAGGCCAGTAAGATAATTTAGGAATGAAAGTGAGAGGATATAATCCACATGTAATAAAGTTTATGTTGCCACATTGTGGATAATGGAGGGGATGATTGCCAAGACTAAAAAGTAAAAACCCTTTTCACCTCTTGCTCCTCCAAACTTAGATCCTAGTCCTAATCACTCATAAAAGTTTTATAATACAAACATATATTCACAGAAATGGGTGTAAAATTTTTTGAAACTATAGACTGAAAGAATATCTTTTGACTTTCTTTTAATTGTTTTGTCATTTGTCTTTCATGCATTTTATTTATTTTTAGATATTTTGCTTTTTATTACAGAATATTTGAAAAATAAAAAATTATGTGACATATGTACGTGAAATATTGAAACATTTTAATAAGATGAACACCTGGGAACCCAACATCCAACTTAGGAATTAGAACATTTTCAATATGTTTTTCTCTTTATTTAACCTCTTCCTAATCAATCCCTATGCCTTCCTCCAGAGAGCCTCCTAAATTTTGTTCTGCCATTCCCACAACTTATTCTAATAATTTCTTTCCCTCCAAAAAATGTTCAGCGTTCCTTTTTTGAGTCTTTCTTTATAAATGATACTTTATTGTATATAGTCTTCTCTGACTTTTTTATTTTTCACTCCCATATTCAAAAATCCATCCTGGTTCATTCCATAAACATCTAAGTGTGGCCTATATTATATTATGTAATATATACGTATATATCTTTATATACACATACCTTTATTTATTATATATATGCCTATATATATATATATATATACCTATATTTATTTTATATGTATATCTTTTCCTCTTTTCCAAACTGCCTGCACTCAGGAGCCAGATGACCGCATTCCAGTACTGGTTATGCCAATTATTAAGTCTATGCCATTGAGCATGTTCATTAACCACGGTGCTTCAGTTTTCTAATGTGTAGGATTGCCTACCTTATTTGACTCTTGTGAAGTTTTGATTAGTGAATACATGAAAAGTTAGGTAAAAGAGAACATAGAAATAATTAATTGATATAGATACATACACACACACATATAATATACATACACTATGTAGTATGTGCCAAGTATGACACCTCAATGAGCAAAGAAGACAAAAATTATATTTTCATAGAGCCTCAAGCCTAATGCAGGCATTAGACAATAAATATTGGGCATTAAATGGATAGCCATTAAATAATTATATAACACATGGTATTGTAGGAGATGTTAGTGACTGTTGCGGGGAAGTAGTAGGGGAACAGGACTGAGATGTGATTGGATTGTGTGGATAATCTACAATTCTAAGTAGGGTGGTCAAGTTATACCTTCAGAAAACATATTTTAGAGTTAAAAGGATAAAGGAATTATGCATATCTGTATCTGGGTAAAGAGCACCCCAGGCACAGAAGACAACTGATGTTGCCAAGCCCTGAGGCACAAACATGCCTGGCATATTAGAGAACAGCAAGAGGACAGGTGTCACTAGAGCAGGTAGGGCAGAGTAATAGGAGGTGAGATAATGGGACAGCTCATTTAAATATCACCTAACAATAATAACTTCATCAACTCCCAGTTAAAATATTACTTCTTCAGTCTATATTGTTCTCAGACTCCCTAGACAAGGACATACCCCTTAATATATGGTAAAAATATATGGCATAATTGGTAGAATCTTAAAAAAGTATCTAGTATAATGAAGTCACAAAAGTGCACAAAACATAAATGTGTGGCACAATGAATTCTTACCACTTCCCAGGCCAAGTATTAGTATACTGAGAATACCTTGGAAACCCTTTGAACCCCTTTCAATCATTAAACTCCAAACATGACGCTTGTCTTAGCTTTTAGTAGCACATTTTAGTTTGCATATTTTGATACTTATTCACCTGAAATAATTCAGTACATACTCTTTTATGTTTTCCTTTGTTCCCCAGACATCTATGTTACTGCAGGATGGTATAAGCTTTTTAATTTTCTTTGCTTTATATTATTCTATAGTTTATTTATCCACTGCACCATCAATAATCATTTTGGTTGTCTATATTTTGGCTATAATATTTAATGACTATATGAAGATTTGTGGGCATATTGTACTTTTGCATTTATTTTTGTAATAATTTGATTAATCTGTTACTAGTTTAGCAGCTCCATGAAGGTCAAGACATTTTGTGCTTGCATTTCACCTTTGTATCTTATAGGTTAGTACTTGACAAGTAGTAGAGAGTAATTAATATTTTTAATTAATTAATTAATTAACCAACTAATAAAACAAATGTGAGATAATTCCTCCCAACATTGTCCTTTTTTAAATGTTGTGTGTGTGTGTGTATGTGTGTATGTGTCTGCGTGTATGTGCATGCATGTATTTGTCAACCTAGAGAGAACGTGATATGCAACAATATTCCTGAAGAATAAACATGTTCCAAGATTTACAAAATCAGTTGTCTAATATTCTAAGCTGGGCTACTCCCATAATTCAAGGAGTTCAAATGTATTTGGAACATACCCATTGTAAGCATGGCTTCATAAGTAGTAGTAATATTTCTTATAACTATCTCACCCTTGGAAAAACTTCTGAAAATATTTTTTCTTCCTCATGAGATGGTTAATCCTTTTTTGAACCATAACTCAATAAAATGGCATAACAGAATAAAACAGAAAAAAATCCCCCCAAATGGAAAAAGTTTGTAATATTTATTTTCTGGAATTATCTGACACTTAGAAATTTGAATGTAGGAATATCAATAATAATGTAAGAATTTTTAGCTATCTATAAAACTTCCTACTGAAGGAATGAATCAACTAACTTTATCTTCTTAAAAGAAAGAAAAGTCAGAATAGTTATGTAATCTCTAAAATTACACTGATCTCCTTATAAAAGTTATGGAAAATGTAAGTACGGTAGCATTTTAATAATGTTTTATTTTCTTTTCTTAAGAAACTCTTTTGCAAGATTCTGATTTCTTAAACTAAATCATTTGTTAGATCTAGCAATTTAATACATATTTAAACATTCTTATTCCAATAAAAGTTACAGTAAAAATAATTTGTTTTCCCTTGGAAATTAAAATTTTCCAATTCTAACTGTCTGAAGATATATACTTCTGTATATCTTCAACATATTTAAATTGGCATAGTACTTTACACTTATTTCTTTTTTTATAGTTATAATTATCTTTGGTAGATAAGCATTTAGAAATACAGTTAATGAGAGCCATGTATTATCATGAACATTATTTCTGATGTTCTCATGCTACTGCACTGCAAACATGTAGTTGTTTATTTGCCAAATGCTAGAAACAAAGGTCTCATATAGCTATGACAGAAAAGAAAAGAATGATTTGTGTGAAAATTCACTGCCTCATGAGCTCATTTTCTTTCTGCCTTTTCCCCCACCCAGAGCCGAATCCGTAGAATGTGGAATGACACGGTTCGAAAGCAGTCAGAGTCTTCCTTTATTACTGGAGATATAAACAGTTCAGCATCACTCAACAGAGGTAATTAGAAATAATTTTTCATATTTATTACTTTTCTGATTACTTTAAGAATTAAATGCATTGGTTGATTTGCAACTTCTGAACCTGTTCCACGTGATAGAAATATTGTAAGAACATACAATTTGGTTGAGTGTAGCAATGTGTTCCATTATTCATAAGCCGCTTTAAGAAAAAATCCTGAATTTTCAGGAAGTCTTTTCCAAAAGGAAGTTAGAAACTAAGAAATTTTTTTTTCCTAGTCATCTGCTGCTGCCATAAACTGGAGAGCTGTCAGGCCTCATTGGAAGCATGAAAATGGGCAATTATGTGGCTATATAGTCTGCTAAGCATCATCGAGTTCCACATTGTCTTAGGTATAAAGCAATTTCATAGTCTTTGTGGAAGTGAAAGTATACTGTCTAATACATACTTAAGGCAACCTGTGTACTTGGAAAAAAATCACATCTTAATATCTAAAAGACTTACCTGGATAATATTGGATACTTAAAGATTTAGGAGAAAAAATACTTTGGGGTATATTATTATTATTGTATATGTATGTGTTTGTGGTTCAGTGTTCCCTGGGTGGCATTTAGATTTTTCAAATGAAGAAACGAAGTTCACTTAATCTATTGTTTTGTTTGTGGTCGAGTTATTTTCCTTGATCTTTACTCTCCCTCTCTCTCTCTCTCTCTCTCTCTCTCTCTCTCTCGTTCTTTGTGTGTATGTGTGGGGATATGAATAGAATTTATTTCACTGTAGTAAAAATGACTAGATGCAACATTGTGGAGACCAAGAGACTACTACAGTCAGCAATGGGAAATATTTAGAGTATGGTTTTTTCTGGGAAGGAGGCATTTGTATGAATTTATTTTTATGATCAATATGATTATTTCTTATCCCCAAACTAGAATTATTATTTTATTTTAAGCTTATTTCTGTTAGGTTTTGTTACATTTTATGCTACTCTGAATCAAACAGTATCATAATTATGGCTTATGATTCAGAAAGATTCAGATGCTAGCACTCTCAATTATTTGTACTCGAGTAAGTTACATCTTATTTGCGTAAAGAACTTAGGACAGGAAGTGTCAAAATTCAATTTGATGCTGGGTCCATATTTTAAAACTAGTCATGATTTTAAATTATGTACATCACTTTTGCTGGATTAGTAAGCATAGTAAGTGAGAATATTCCTCCAAATATGAAGAAAATATATTAAAATAAAACAACTACTCCTAGTATTTTGTTTCATTATTAGTTTGTTTTTATTGGCTAGAATATATCCAGCTAGACAACATCTTTCAAGTATTCTTATCTTTTTCAATTTAGTTTTAATATTTAGTTTAGGAAAATTTCTTTTAACATCAGTATTCTAACTTTTTGACATTACTTATAAAACATAAAGAACAAATTACTTACAAACACTTCCAAAACCTAGGATTAATTTGCTAACATGTGACTAATTTTCTGTATTCTTTAAATATTTCCATATATGAAAATTTACTGTGTGTTCCAAGAAAGGGAACTGTCCTTACCAATAGGATTTATTGACAGAAGTATCTTGCAGTTAATGATCTCGGCAGCCATAGAATAATTGTTGATTACACAAAAACTGAGGTAATATGATTTTATTGATGAATTATCTATTGTAAGAATAAATAAAATATGTAAAATTATTATTTTGTTTAACACTGTTATCTAAATTTATGTAAAGGTAGTAAGGTATGTAAGTTCTGTAAAAACTGCTATAAATGGATAATATGGGTTTAAGGTTAATCGCTATATAACACTGCTATTTAGTTTCTTTCTTTTTAACTTCTTCTCAAGATTGTAATTAACTTGGAATATAGTGATGTGAATAACTAGATTAATTTGAAATATATTAAAGGAAAATATTATTTTATATTGACTGGCATATATTTAAGTCTGTTTATCAAAATCTCTAGTTTTAAAATATATTTCTTACAGCTGTTAAAGGCGGGGTATATATTTTCTTGTAACATCAAATAAGTTACTTTACTGATGACTTCGGGTAGAGAATTAAATTGAACTTATAATTTAAAAGGTGCCCAGGTAGTGATCATTTCATCAATATGTATTCTTCCTTTCACTTGGAGACTTTATTTGTGCTAGGAGTCATAGTGTTCTTCTTCATTTCCTATATTAATTTCTTAGTACCCCTCAAGTCAGAAACTCCTAATTTTATTCTTATTTTTTTAATCTTAGATGAGTAGACCACTTGAAATTTTATTTCTTCATATTATGTCTCTGAAGATAGTCTTTAACCTCCTTCTTTAATCTTGTCTTATTTCCCAGGATCCTATCTTCCCTGCATTCAGGTGTGTGTATCATATTTAGGTAGGTGACATCCAAGATTCATCTTTTCAGATAAACACTTCAGTCACCTCAGCAACATAATTATTCACTTCTGTTTATTCAAAAGATTATATTCTCTATTACTAAAATAAAAATCTTAGAGACTACATCTTTACATCTTCATATATTCTAACTTCTTATTTAGTTAGTTTTTTACAGATAGCGTTTTTTTTTTAATTCAGACTCCATTTTCCTTTCTTTCTAAGTTAGATGTATTAAATCTCTTATTTTTGTCTTTAAGATAGTTCTGACCCTTGAAAACTACAAACTGTTGTCCAAAAATCAGTTCTATTTTTAATTTAGGTTTTCTTTCCTGTTCATTCCGCTAGTCAATTCATCAAAAGGGTACTATTTAAAAATTTGGTATGTTTATCATTGTTCTTACAAACAATAATAAATCATTATCATCTTTAGGATCCACTAAAAAAAAAAAAAAAAAAAAAAAAAACGAATACATCATGCAGTGTAGAAGTACTTCTTGATGGTATTTATTTTTTTAAAACCATCTCAAATATTCTGCTCTTGAATCAGTTTGTTGCATCATAAGTGTGAGATTACCTTTCTAGATTTTCCAAGGTGACAAATTTGATTACTATTGGGATTTTACTCCTTGGAATCATGTGAAACCTTGGAAGATTTATTGATATAATAATTTTCAATAAGTATATTAATTCCTTTATATTCTCTTTAGAAGTTTTGTTGTTTTGTTACTTCATCTGTTTAAAATCTTCCATTAAAACTGTACTTTAAATATCTGTAAATATGAAGGTGTTTCTCGAAATGTTTTCTATACATTTTCAAATATTTTTCTCGAACTGACTTGTTTGGCACAACGTTACACACTTAAACAAATTTAGAAATCCTTGAGGCCAATACCCCAGCAGTACTATCAAGTTAACTTCAGCAATGCCACTGTATACACAAGTGAAAGGAGCTTTAGAAGAGCTCTAAGGTGATGGTTGATTATAGAGAGTTTCATCAAAGATTAACTCTAAGCCACATTCAAGTTTTCACAAACTCATAGGACCGCAGGATGTTTTATGCATTGGTTCATTTAAATATTTACTATTCTGCTCATATCTTGAAGGTATAGTCAGCACTCAATTCCGAGTTTCCTCCCAGCACTGTTGGAAATCTAATTCAAATCTCTAGTAGTTCCAACTTCCTGGTAGCAGTAAAATGACTTGTAGCTAGAGTAGTTTTTTCCACTACTCTGCAAATCACACACACACACAATATATATATATTTTAAGAGATGGAGTCTTAGACTGTCACCCAGGCTGGAGTGCAGTGGCATGATCTCAGCTCACTGCAACCTCCACCTCATGGGTTCAAGCAGTTCTCCTGCCTCAGCCTCATGAATAGCTGGACTTACAGATGTGCACCACCACACCTGGCTAATTTTCATATTTTTAGTAGATGTGGGGTTTCACAATGTTAGCCAGGCTGGTATTGAACTCCTGACCCCGTGATCTTCCTGCCTTAGCCTCCCAAAGTGCTGAGATTACAAGTGTGAGCCACCATGCTCAGGTATTTTTATTTTTTTGAGACAGGTTCTCCCACTGTCACCCAGTTTGGAGTGCAATGGCATGGTCATAGCTCACTGCAGCCTCGAACTCCTGGGTTCAAGTATTCCTCGTGCTTCAGCCTCCTGAGTAGCTAGGACTACAGGCTCCCACACCATTTTTTTAAAACTTTTTGTAGATGTGAGGTTTCACTCTGTTGCCCAGGCTAGTCTTGAACTCCTGGCTTCAAGAGATCCTTCTACCTCAGTCTCTCAAAGTTCAGGGATTACAAACAAGAGCCACTGTACCCAGCATTGAACTATTTAGATTAACAATACCTCTAAAACTTTAGTTTGATCCAAAAATGAAATACTGACTGAGAAATTTCCTCTGGAAGTGGCATGAATTGTTAAATATTTCTAATCTTTTTGTGGCTCTATGTAGAAATTAGGATATTTTCTGAAATTAGACTTTATCTCATCATAAATTTTATATTTATTAGGCTTTATCTTATCATAAATATTATACTTATTCACTTTATCTGATCATAAATATTATATTTCCCATTGTCTTTTTATTTAATTAGTAAAATTGAGGTCAGAAACTTCCATTTGAAAATCAAGTTTTGCTAAGTAGCTCTTACCAGTAAGGATCTTTGAATCACATGAGAGTGCCCCGTTCCCACCCCAGCCATGAAAATTCAAATTTTCCCAGCATTAGAACAAAGGGCATTTGTTTTTCTTCTGGAACAATTGCTTGGCTAGCATCATGAGTTTTTATTTTTCCATAATCTCCTATCCTCCATCTTGTCAACCTCTCAGACAAGTTAATTTGATTTAGATTTTTATGCATAGAGATCTGACCAGTAAGGATATGTTTATTTAAGTCAAATTTAGTTGTTATATATAGGAAGACTGATTGGTAAATGTGTAGCACTTATTTATTAATGCTGATGGATTCTTTTTTCAGAGTTCAGATCTTTGTTAATCTGCAAAAGCATTCTCAGTAAATATATGTAATTAGTAAAACTGTGATTGCCTATGACAATACATTTGTTTTTATAGACTTTTAAGGGTAAATTTTGGATCAAAGCTAGTGGCAATACTACCTACTGAAAGGTGACCCCGTCTGTTAGGA